CCGCCCAGGCGCAGCCGATTTCGGATCGATTTTGGTTCCGCGCCCATGTGGCCCAGTCTGGTGCAGGTTGAGATCCGATACTATTCAGCGATTCGATGCTGACTGCTCCTGCCTCGTCGTCGTCGTCGTCGACATCGTCGCTGTCGTTGTCGTCCCGGCATCTGTCCTTCGGCCTCCACGATCCTTTTTCCCGGAAAGGGCCTGAGCCCAGGGTTCTCTTTTAGTTGGTTTCCCCCCGGTTTTGACGGCTGTAGGGCCGGCGAATTTCTTTTGCGATAAATAACGAGGTCGCGTAGGGCCGGCGAATTAAACATTGAGGATGTCCCTGGCGAAACGCTTGTTTTTCAGAATTTGTTGAGGATGTCTCGAGCGAAACGTTGGTTTTGCAGAGTTGGGGATGTCTCGAGCGAAACGCTTGTTTTCAGAATTTGTTGAGGATGTCTCGAGCGAAACGCTGGTTTTGCAGAGCTGACCGCGACGCGGAAAAGCGCCCCGCGCGCAGGAATTCCGAGGATGTCTCGCGCGTGCCGCGTCCCGCGCGCAGGGATTTTGAGGATGTGTCGACTAATTCGCTTGTTTTGCCAGGATTTCTTTGGATTTTGACAGGATGTCTCTAGCGAAACGCTTGTTGTTTCAACATTTGTTGAGGATGTCTCGAGCGAAACGCTGGTTTTGCAAAATTGGGGGATGTCTCGAGCGGGGGCCTCGCGGGGGGCCTCGTAGGGGTCCAGAATTCAGAGGATGTCTCAGGCGAAATGTTTGGTTTCACATCCCGCTCGCAGGAATTCCGAGGATGTCTCGCGCGTGCCGCGTCCCGCGCGCAGGAATTCTGAGGATGTCGGCAGGATATCTCGAGCGAAACGCTTGTCCCCAGCACGTTCCGTAGCGCGTCCCCTTGGCACGTCCCGCTGTGCGTCCCCATGGCACGTCCCTTGGCACGTCGCTTGGCGGGTCCCTTGAGACGTTCCGCGTCGCGTCCTCCTGGCATGTCCCCCTGTCAATTAGCTCTTGGGCAGCTACTATGTGCTGAGGCAGCTCGAGCTTAAGATCCAGATCAGTTCGGTCAGGACTCGGATGCAAAGGAGGACTCGATCCACGACGCTATAGAGCACAATCGAGGCATAACACATCGCAATTCAGCACGGCGCAGCACAGCACAGATTTCGGCACGGTACATCAAGATCGATACAGTCAGCATTGCAACTTGGCACGTCCCTTGGCACGTTCCGTGGGGCGTCCCTTGGCGAATCCACCTGGAACGTCGCGCGGCGCGTCCCCTGGCACATCCCGTGGCACATCCATTGGCACGTTCCGTAGCGCGTCCCCTTGGCACGTCCCGCGGTGCGTCCCCATGGCACGTCCCCTGGCACGTCGCCTGGCGCATCCCTTGGGACTTTTCGCGGCGCGTCCTCCTGGCATGTTCCCCTGTCACTTAGCTGTGAGGCAGCTACTATGTGTTCAGGCAGCTCGAGCTTAAGATCCAGATCAGTTCGGTCAGGACTCGGATGCAAAGGAGGACTCGATCCACGACGCTATAGAGCACAATCGCGCCATGGCACATCGCAATTCAGCACGGTGCAGCACAGCACAGCCCTCGGCAGGGTACATTAAGATCGATACACTCAGCATTGCATTTGCCCGTCACCCAGTCAGGTGTCTTTGAAAACGCTGCCATGTGTTACAGTTCTAGATTCCTTTCCGGGTTCGTGGGTCGATCATGTTGGGACTCTCGGACGAGAAACTGCCATTATGGAAGATGTCGACACCCCTTGGGGCCCGCGGCTTGGAGAAACAACCCATCGGATGTCCTGGGTCATGATAGTGGTTTGTTGTCCTCGAGAGTTGAGGATCGATGTGCCTTTTTTTCTGTGTTTGTGCACTCTTTTTGCCCCCCATGGGAGTCTCCGGAGACATTGGACAGCTGTCGCTGGCATCGCCGTCGCCGCCGCCTTCATCACCGTCGTCATCGGCGTCGTCGTCTTCGTCACCGCCGCCGCCGCCGCCGCCGCCGCCGCCGCCGTCGTCGTCGTCGTCGTCGTCGTCGTCGTCGTCGTCGTCGTCGTCGTCGTCGTCGTCGTCGTTGTCGTCGTCAGCGTCGTCGGCCTTGTCGTCGGCCTGTCGTCGTCGTCGTCTTCGTCGGCTTCTTTGTCGACTTCGTCGTCGTCGTCGGTGTCGTCTAGGCTCGAGTGTTTGATTTTTGTTTAATCCTTCGCTCTCAATCGGGCATCTGGAGACCTCGGACAGTCGTCGTCGTTGTCGTCGTCGTCGTCGTGGTCGTGTTCGTCGTCGTCGTCGTCGTCGTCGTTCTCCTCCTCCTCCGCCACGCCCTGTCCCTGTCCTTCTCCACGTGCTTTCTGTCGTCATCTTTCTCTTTCTTCTCGTCATACTCGTCCTCGTCCTGCTCGACCTTTCTCCTGCTTCTCGTCCTCCTTCCTCCTCTCTCCTCTCCCCTCCTCCTCCTCCTCTTCCTCCTCTTCCTCCTCTTCCTCCTCTTCCTCCTCCTCCTTCTCCTCCTCCTCCTCCTCCTCCTCCTCCTCCCCTCAACACTCCTCCTACGTTTTTCTCCTCGCTCCTCTCTCCTCCAGCTCCTGCTCCTCCTACTCCTCCTCCTCCTCCTCATCCTCCTCCTCCATCTCCTACCTCCTCCTCGCACATTCCCCCCTCGTCATCCACCTCCATCTCCCGTACTTCTGCTCCTCATCCTATCGCGTATTCTCTTCCTGTACCTACGTATTTTCCTCCTCCTCCTCCTCTTCCCACTCCACGTCCTTCCCCCTTCGTCTCTTCCGTCCTCGCCTCGCTGTCCCTCCTCCTGCTCATGCTGCTGCTCCTCCCCGCTCCCGTCTTGTTGCTCCTCCTCCCTCCATCCTCAATCTTTATCATTATTGATCACTCCTCCCTGTCGCACCATCAGGCGTGTTGGTAGGGTGGGCCAGGCGTTCGGCCTGAGATTTCCCCAGCATTTATACAACAGCTTCACAGATGGAGGGCGGCCTGTTTTCACACTGAGGTTCTCGTTTTAGCGCCGCGTGCGTTCATCTCAAAAGAGGCAACCGGTTCAAGGATGGAGGAAAGGCCCTTTTCAAAATGTGTCTTGCTTCAGTGCCGCGCGCATTCGTTTTAACAGTTTGCAGCAGTTCCAAGGATGGAGTGCGGATCGCTTTCAAAATGTGGCTCTCGCATTAGCGATCGGCGCCTTCGTTTCAAAAGTTTGCAGCAGTCTCAAGGCTGGAGGGCGGATCGTTTTCGAATGTGGCTTTCGTCTCAGCGCCGCGCAGCTTCGTCTTGACGAAAATTTGCAGGCTATTCAAGGACTGAGGGCGGATCGTTTTCAACATGTAGCTCTCGCCTTAGCGCCGTCCACATTCGTCTTAAAAGTTCTGTTGCAGGGTTTAAGGATTCGTATAGCTGGAGTTCCAGGACCGGTGTTCTGGCAGGATCAGGGCTTGTCAGGACGCAACAGTTACGTTGGTTCGTGGTGAAATCCCAGGAATGGTATTCTGGCACGGCTTACGAGCGTCAGGACGCCACGGTTACGTTGATTCGCGGCCTTGTTGACGTCCCAGGAATAGTGTTTTGGCACGGTTGAGGATCCTCAGACAACTGTCTTCCAATGGAGCGCTTCCAGTACTGAAAATCCATTCCTGTATCTTCATTTCAGCAGAAGCCATCGCCATGGACGAGGCTGTTCAGGCGTTGGCTCAAATACTGTCCTTTCGTGCGCGGCCGTTACGAGGTGCCTTGGCACCTCACGAGTGACTTAGGCTTTGTTGTAAAAAATCCGTTCCTGTAGGGTCCTGTAAAGAGGGAACTTGCAGGGACGGATTATTGCAGCATCGTTGATGCGTCTATCAGGAGGGAAAACAACACACAGACACAATTCATCGACGATTCCCCAGAAAATATGGGAAGTGGGGGGAAGATAAAAACACAGGGAATATGGGAACATATAGGGAATCCTGTCTTTTGTGTCTATTTATTCAGTCGCTTCGCTCATTCCGCCGGCCCATGTTGCATGATCGCTACTGCTTCGCCGTGGGCCCGGGGCCATTGTGGCGCCGAGGAGGAGGAGGAGGAGGAGGAGGAGGAAGATGAGGATGGGGAAGGGGAGGGGAGGAGGAGGAGAGGCTGAGAAGAAGAGGAGGAGAATGAAGATAAGAAGAAGGAGGAGGAGGAGGAGGAGGAGGAGGAGGAGGAGGAGGAGGAAGGGCAAGGGGCGGAGGAGGAAGCCTCTCGTTGGCATCTAGTGTTGCTCTTGGGGCCAAACAGGGTCGTCGTCGATGCTTCTTTGGGAGGCCTTTTGGGGTCTTTTGAGAAGCCGTTCGTGAGCGCCTGGGAGGCATTTTTGAACTTCTGGGGCCTCTTGGGACCTCTTTTGGGCCTCCTGGGGGCCTCCTGGGGCCTCTTGGGGGCTTCTTGGCGGCATCTTGGGGTATCTTGGGGGCCTCTTCGGGGCCTCTCGGGGCCTCCTGGGGCCCTCTTGGGGCGGAAGGCTCGGGTTTTCGGTTCGTGGTCCCCCTCTTGGGCCCCTCTTGGGGCCGTCTTGGGCGCCTCTTGGGCCGTCTCGGGGCCCTCTCGGGCCCTCTTGGGGTCCTCTTGGAAGCCTCTTGGCCCGTCTTGGGGCGCTCTTGGGGGCCTCTTGGGCCGTCTTGGAGCATCGGATGGCCGAAAATGCGACAAGGCCAAAATCCTTCCAAAACCATCGTAACATTGATGATTTTGTCCTGTCGGGCCCTCTTGTGAGGCCTCTTGGAGGCCACTTGGAGGCCTCTTGGGTCGTCTTGGGGTCATCATCAGCGTGTTGGAGCGCTCTTTGGGCGTCTCGGGGGCCTCTTGGACCGTCTGGGAGACCTCTTGGGGCCCTCTTGGACCGATTCGGAGCCCTCTGGGGCTCCGAAAAAGAGTTCTGGCATCCTTGAACAGACCTTGCCGGGACCTTGCCGGGACCTTGCTGGGGTACTTTTCGTCCGGGGACCCCCAGGGTGCGAACCGCTCGCGCGAATTAGAAATATTGTTTACCAGCTACCGGAGATCTTCGCACGCCTCTGGCCCGTTGGGCCGGCGAATTTGTGTGTCCCAGGGCCCCTTCAGTCTAGGCTTACACAGGTCCATCTTCCTCCATCGGCAGCCCTGAGCACGCGACGACGACCAGCCTCAAGGACACATCGCTCGACAGCAGCTCCAACGACAGCAGCCGCAGCAGTGACAGCGACAGCAACAAGAACTCAGAAGACAGCATCACGGAGTGCTGGCCTGACTTTATCAGGAGAGCAACGCGCACAGGCAATGCCCACGCCGAACGATCCCAAGCCGACGCTTTGATTGCAATGTGTGTCAAAAAGCACTGTCGATGAGCTTGCCGTGGAGTCCAATGATCTATCGACCGATGGCCACGACGTGCCGCCGCTTGGGAACCTCCGCAACATGACAAGCGTCCGCCCAGCGAAACTACGGAGGGCAGCGGAAAGCAGATGGGGCCATGACGTCGCAGGCCTCGTGGTATCTGAAAAACTGGTGGACAACAGCACAAGATACCCCAACGACACTGACAGCCGATGGTGATGACAACTCGCCTGCGACAGTTACTGGCACAGCACGGAAGGACAACTCATCACACTCGATGGCCTCTGTGCGAACTTCTTCGAGCCAGGTGAGCCCCGACACCACGGTGCAAGCGCCCTGGCCCCCCCCCGCGCTGACTCTCAAGGGTCCCGTTCCCGCGGACTTGCGTGCTCCGCTCCGCTTCGCTTTTCTTCGCCTCGCTCCTCCTTCGCCTCTGCTTCCTCCTTCTCCCCATCATTGCCTTGCACTGTTTGGGTTGCTGGCTTTTGGCCAGGCGCTCGCCGTGTTTGTTTCCCGTCCCCGACGGGCGCCTTGCCGAGTCAACACCCTTGCACTGTCTGGCTTCAGCTCTCGGGTGGAGGCGGAGCCTCTCGGGGCTCGGGCGCGGGAGCGCCGTCGACAACCCGCGCCTGCTGTGGCATCCCTCCGGCCGTTGCCCAGCTCCTCCCGATCGTCCTCCCATCTGGCTCCGCCGCCTCCTCCTCCGCTGCCTCGTCTGCCTCGCCCCGCTCCCGTTCCTCCGCCCCCCCTTCTCCCCCCTCACCTCGTCCTCCGCCGGGTGCCCTCCTGCTCTCTCTCCCGTCCTGCTCCTCCGCCCCCTCGCCGCTCCTCCCCGCCCCTCCTGCAGGTCGGGCCGAGGTATGAGATCGAGGACCTCGATCTTGTACCTTGGTCCGGTCGAGTTCGGGGAGGGTGCCCCAGTGTTCTTCGCGTTTGCTGGATGTTCCTGTGCATCCTGGGGAGGGCACCCTTGGATGTTCTGTGTGTTTTGGCCGGCGGAGGGTCTCATGTTCTTGAGGGATGCTCTTCTGGCTTAGGTCCGACTGTTCTGCTCCGATCCCCGTCGCTACCCCCGCCTCCGCCGTTGCCGCTGCCCGCTCTCCTCGCCGCTGCCGCCGCCGCCGTCGTCGTCGTTGGCGCCGTTGGCGGCGGAAGGACGACGACGACCTGGCCCGACTCGCACTGCGCTCCCAGCGCGCGGCGCGCCAGCGCCCCGCTCCCGCTGCTGGCCCCGGCCCGCCCCGCGTTCGCGCGCCGGTGCCGTGCGCGGCGCGCCCCGCGCCCCGCGCACGGCAGCGGCGCGCGAACGCGGCGCCGACTTTGCCGGCACTTCGGCGGCGCTCCCCGCCGCCGAGGCGGGTGTCCCCGGCAGCGGGGGCTCTCCGTCGACGGCGCGCGGGGGCGGTGGCATGAGAGCGCTGCGGGAGAGAGCGCCGCCAACGCCCTACGCGTTGGCATCGCTCGGACGTGTGCGTGTTCTCTCGGCGAGGACCATCGTGGAGTACACCCTAGGCGATGCTTAAGAAAACCTAAGTTTTCGTCCAGAGTCTCGATTATTCTTAACTTTTCAATGTGAATCCCAAGATTTTGATAGAAGTTCTGGGTTTTGTTCAATTCCTGAGACTATGAATTTCTTAACCCATGATTTCTTAAGCATTTCGCATGGTGTATCTCGGATCATCTTCGGAAGAGAATCACGCACGAAACCGGCAAGCATACGGGGAAGGGGCGTTTCCGAGCGATGGCGAGTCGCGCAGGGCACGGTGATGGATAGTGGCCCACTAGACTGCCACTTTCCCGCGTCGCCCGAGGCACGGCCGCCCACGGTCCGAGTCGCTGCGATCTGATTCACCAGCTGGGGCAGCCATTCCGATTCGATTCGACTCGGTTCGATTCACCCGCTGCGGCGGGACTCGCCGGCATCGGCCGAGGCCGGCCGGAGCTGGGCGCGGCGACCCGATCCGTTCCATGTCCGATCTGACTTCCCGGTTCCATCCAGCTCAGGCCTGCCGTTGCCCTTGGTTTCCGGCCCACAGCTCGGCTCTCTGGCGGCGGTCTGGGACGATCCAGGCAACCCGGGCACGTTCTCGCCGAGGCGCAGCTGCTGGAAAGCACCCCGAGGACGGAACACCGTCGAGGACTGAGGAAACTCCCGACGGCGAGGCCGTCGAGAGCGACGACGACGACGACGACGACGACGGCGGCGGCGGCGGCGGCGGCGGCGGCGGCTGCGGCGACGACGACGACGACGACGACGGCCTCGGCGGCGGCGGCGGCGGCGCCTACCCAGCAGGGTGGCGTCGGCCCCTGCGCCGAGGGGCCCCGCGGTGACGGTGCTTGCCTGCCCGCGGGCGGCCTCGGGCGCGGCGCCCGCGCCGCGGTCGCCGGCCCGGCACTGCCTCTCGGATTCTGAGGCGGCGCTCTGCCCTCCGGGCCTCCCAGATGGGCTCGGAGCATAGGTGGGGTCCGAGGATCGCGCAGCATGCCGATGCGGCTCGAAGTCGGAGATGCTTCAGGCGCTGAGCATGGGGCCTGCCGATGCTTCACGCACCCCGAGGTCGGAGCATCGACGATGCATCGCCGATGCGGCTCGATGCGGAGCCCGATTTGCTTCACGTCGACGTCGCCGACGCATCGCCGACGTCGACGATGCGTCGCCTGTGCAGCTCCGCTGCATCGCCGATGCATTGGCGATGCGGCGATATCCTCCGACCTCATCTAAACGGACCCCATCCAGGAGGCCTCTATGCACGCTTCTCTTCGATTACGGGGTCGACAACAGTCGGTCCGAGGTATAATCACCGAGCACGTTCCGCTACTCGCGAAGTGCCTACTCGCAAGCGTCCGAGAAAGTATACATCGGCCAATCGTGAATCCCCAGCGGCGGATCCAGACAATCTGCGAGCAGCTACTTTGCGAGTACTGGAACGCGCTCGTCTACGTAAGATCGAGGTCGGCTCGGGGAGTGCAGTCCAGTTCTCCAACTGTGGGGTGCATCAGGTCTGTGGTCGACCCCCTGCGCGATCTCTCTCTGCAGGTCGCCGGCGGCGCCGACGGCGCTCGGGCAGCATGGGCCGCAAGGGGACAAAAGGGAGCACGGCTCTCGGAGGTTTTCGGAGGCGCGCCCTCGTCGTGAGCGTGCCGAGGGGGCTTGCCCAGATCGCCCCGCGAGGCCGCCCGAGGCCCCAGTGCTCACCACCCACCAAACCACCCCAACCCAACCCGAAGGCTCAGATTTACCCTCGATTTCCAGTGGGGGGGGGTCGGGAAACATCGACAAAAACACACGTGGAGCCCTTACCCCCCCAACCCGAAATTCGGGTCTTCGGGTTGGGTTGGGGTGGTCTGGTAGGTAGTCAAGTGCTGGACCGACCGCCGACCGCCCCCCGCGGTCCGCGCGCAAGGCCAGGTCAGCCGTCGGGTGGATCGGAACGGGCACTGAAAGGATGGGGGGGGAGGGCTGACAGCAGTCCCTCTTCACTTTGAAAGGGTTCTCTGTCGGCGTCGCCGCGGGCGTCGTCCTCTCGAGACAGGAGAAGTCGCCCGCCCGACGGCGGCGGCTGTTGTTCTTGGACACCGTTCCCATCGTTTCCCATCGTTTTCGCATCCATCGTTCGCATGTCTGCGATCGTCCCTATCGTTTTCGCACCCATGTCGGGCATGCCAATAACTATTCCGAGCATAGGGTATTTCTGATCTCATCATATGTTTTCGAAGGCGACGCGTTTCGGACTCCAGGAGGGCTGCGGTATTCGCGCGCGCGCCCGACGTGCAGGGCGCAAGGAACGCAGCCGGAAGTCGAGCCCACGAGGTCGAAGTGATTCGGCTGCCCACTCACCCAACCTGGGCCAACAGAGCCCCTGCAATCTGTCGTCGTCGTCGCCGCCGTCGTCGCCGTCGTTGTCTTCGCTGTCTTCGTTGTTGTCGTCGTCATCGTCGCCGTCGTCGTCGTTGTCGTCGTCGTCGTCGCCGTCGCCGTCGCCGTCGCCGTCGCCGTCGTCGTCGTCGTCGTCGTCGTCGTCGTCGTCGTCGTCGTCGAAGCCGTCGCCACCGTCGTCGTCGCCGTCGTCGCTTCCGCCGTTGTCGTCGCCGCCGCAGCCGTCGCCGCCGCAGCCGTCGCCGCCGCCGCCGCCGTCGTCGTCGTCAGCGTCGTCGTCGTCGTCGTCGTCGTCGCTGCCGCTGTCAGGGAGGGACATCAGGGGGAGGGGGGAGCAGGGATAGGAGGGAGGAGGCGGGAGGAGGTGGACCAGAAGGAGTATGAGGAGGAGGAGGAGGAGGAGGAGGAGGAGGAGGAGGAGGAGGAGGAGGAGGAGGAGGAGGAGGAGGAGGAGGAGGAGATAGTGATGATTTCGATGGTGACAGAGGGAAGTGAGAAGAGAGGCGGGGAACGAAGGAGGGATGGGGCAGGGAGAGGGGGAGGGAGAGGGAGAGGGAGGGAGGAGGAGCGCAAAGAGGATTGGGAGCAAATTCAGTTTTTTGTGAACAATTTTGTCCGCAGTGCCAGCCCCTCGAGGCTCTGCACACGTATGGAGACCGTCCCAGTCTGGGGGTCGATCTCACCCCCCCGCTCGTGCGCAGCTCGGCGGGGGGCAGATCGCGGGCCGTCGCTCCTCTGCGCTCCCTCACCGCGGTGGCCGGCGAGATGAGCCTGGCATTACGTCGGGCGCGTCCCCCTACAGGGGGACCTTCGACGAAAAATAAACAATACCCCAATAATGCCCCCAAAAAATCAAAAAATACCCCCAAACTAGTCCCCGACTATTTTTGTGCTATTTTTGGGACTATTTTTGGGGTATTTTTTATTTTTCGTCGAAAATCCCCCTGTAGGGGGACAGGCCCGACTTAGGCCTGGCAGTCGGCCTCTGCGCCGCCAGGCTCTCAAGAGGGAGCCGAGGGGCCCGCCGCGACGACGAGCGGCCGCTGCGGCGGGGCCTGGAGGCGCTATGGCCTCTGCGACCGGCGTCGGCCAGCGTGGGCCCCGAAACGTACGTCATTGCACCGTGGATGTGTCAGACGTGTGCTGCTATCTGCGTGTGGTGTAGCCTCCGTCAGTATGACAGCCCCCACCCCTCCCAGACCCCCTCGAGTAATGAAAAAATCATGACGGGAGGTTTTTCCTAATTTTCGGCCTCCGGGGGGCCCTCACCGGGCCTCGGGAGCGTCAAAAAACGAATCAGGATGCAAAGCCGGCCATGGGGACAGGGTCGGGACCTCTGGGGGTCGACGTAATGAAAAAATCATTACGTCGTGGGTCTGGGTCAGTCAGTATGACAACCCCCACCCCTTCCTGCAAGAGGAAAGCACTTCGCCCGCCCCGGAAGCGTCATTCCGGCACCTGGAGGATGATGTGGCTCTCGCCCTAGCGCCGCGCGCATTCGTCTCAAACAACTGCAGGAGTTTCACGGATTGAGGGTGGCTCGTTTTCAAAATGAGGCTCTCGCCTTAGCGCCGCGCATATTTCCCTAATCAGAGCTTGCCTCTGTAGGGGTCCTAGCGGATTCATATGGTTAGGACAGGTTTGCCGCCGATTTTCGCCGCACGCCCGGGTTCCCGGGGGTGCCCGGGTGCCCGGGTGCCCGGGGGGGTGCCCCGAGGTGCACAGGGGTGCCCGGAGGTGCCCCGGGGTGCCCGGGCTGCCCGGGTGCCCCGGGGTGCCCAGGTGCTCTATCGCCTTATAGCTCTATAGCTCTATAGCCCTATCCCTATATACCTATAGACCTATAGCCCTACAGCCCTATAGCCCTATAGCCCTATAGCCCTAATAGCCCTATAGCCCTATAGCCCTTTAGCCCTATAGTCCTTATGCCCTATAGCCCAATCGCCCTACAGCCCTATAACCCTATAGCCCGTATAGGCCTATAGCTCTATAGCCTTATTGCCTTGTAGCCCTATAGCCCTATGTTTCTATAGCCCTATAGCCCTATAGTCCTATAGCCCTAGCCCCATGGTCATATAACCGTATAGCCCATAGCCCTACAGCCCTAAACATGTTATGATTTGGGTTTTTCTCCGGTATCATTGTTTCGAAAGCTTGTAACAGTTTCACGGATTGAGGGCGGGTCGTTTTCAAAATGTGATTCTCGCTTCAGCGCGGTGCACATTCGTTTTGAAAACGTCGCATGCGTTTCACGGATTGAGGGCGTCTCGTTTTCAAAATGTTGCTCTCGCTCTAGCGCCGCGCACGTTCGTTCCAAAACATTGCAAGAGTTTCACGGATTGAGGGCGGCTCGTTTTCAACATGTGGCCCTTGCCTTAGCGCCGTGCGCATTATGTTTGGAACTTGTTGCAAGAGCTTCACGCATGGAGGGCGCGCCGTTTCCCAAATATGGTTCTTGCCCTAGCGCCGCGCGCATTCGTTTCAAACAAATGCAAGGGTTTCACGGTTTGAGGGTGGCTCGTTTTCAAAATGAGACTCTCGCCTCGGCGCCGCGCACATTTGTTTCAACAGCTTGCAAACTTGCAACAGTTTCACGGATGGAGGGCGGGTCGTTTTCAACATGTGGTTTTCGCCTCAGCGTGGCGCACATTCGTTTTGACACGAGTTTGACGGATTGAGGGCGTCTCGTTTTCAAAATGTTTCTCTCGCTTTAGCGCCCCAAACTTTCGTTTCAACAATTTGCAAGAGCTTCACGGATGGAGGGCGGCTCGTTTTCAACATGTGGTTCTCGCCTTAGCGCCGCGCGCACTCCTTTAAACAACGTTGCAAGAGTTTCACAGACGGAGGGCTAGCCACTTCCAGAATGTGGCTCTCGCCTTAGCGCCGCGCGCATTCGTCTCAAGAACTTGCATGAGCTTCACGGATTGAAGGCTTCACGGCTAGTGCCACTATGATTAGTATGCTTGCTACTAATCATTACGACTGCAACGACGCATAATACGAGCACTACCGCTAGAGTCTTTACATCTATTGTCATTACTGCCAAATGGTTTTAGTGCGGCCGTTATTATCTGAATCAAGTAGCTACGGGTGCGAACCCTAAGCATTACGACTAGTACGATAACTATTGCGAAATACCTCTATCGTCACGACGCTGACGGGAGTTACGCTTCCCACGCTCCCAGGTGCTAAACTGACGCTCCGTGCGGGGCGGGCGCGATACCCTGGGATGGACAATCGCATAGGGCGGGGGCGGTGGGCAGACAGAGACAGGAAGCTTTGGACTCGACTCCCTCCTCTCGAAGTTTTTCAACTAGTATTACGAAGCATCACTGCTAGTCGCTAGTAGTAAAACTAGTAGTGCAGCTATTACTATTATCAGTCTTATATTTCTACATGTGCCCAACACTACAATTGACATATTTGTGTTATTGTTCCTTTTCTTAGTGTTGCCGTCACTATCACTTTTACGAATATTATTATTCATACATGTTTTATAACAATCGCTTCGTTGGATGGTGGGAATTAATTATTTTTCGCGCTCCCAGGTGCTAAGAGAATGCTATGCGGGGCGGGCGCGATCACCCCCTAGGACGGCCGACGAATGCCAATTCATCATGAAGGATGACAATTGGAATCGTATAGGATTGGGGCGGTTCGGAGATAGAGAAAGGAAGCTTCGCATTCAAGCTCCTCTCGAATGACTGCAAATCGTGCTACTAAATACTAATACTACTGCTGATCGTATTACATATATGTCTTCGAATGCTAGTTATAACTCGCGCAATATCTTAAAACGAACGCGCGCTGCGCTGAGGCGAGAGCTACATTTTGAAAGCGAGCCGACCTTGTAAATTCTTATTACGATCGTGCGTGGCGCTAAGGCGAGAGCTAGCTACATTTTGAAACCGAGCCGCCTTCAATCCGTGGATCCCGTGCAAATTTCTATAGCGAATGTGCGCGGCGCTATGGCGAGAGCTGCATTATGAAGACGAGCCGCCTTCAATCCGTGAAACGCGTGCACAGCTCTAAGAACGAATGCGCGCGGCGCTCCGGCGAGAGCTACATTTTGAAAGCGAGCCTCCCTCAATCCGTGAAATCCCCGCAATGTTTTACAACGAATGTGCACGGCGCCAAGGCGAGGGCAATGTTTTGAAAGCAAGCTTGGGGGCAGGGGGACTTTTTTGGCTGTTTGGCACGGTGCTACAGCTATCGCTCGGCGAAAATCCCCCCATGGAATTCATGTGTTCGTGCGGTGCTAGGGTAACACCGGAGGCTTCTTATAAACTGATTCCCCAATCAGAGCTTGCCTCTGTAGGGGTCCTAGCGGATCCATATGGTTAGGTTAGGTTAGGTTTGCCGCCGATTTTCGCTGGACGCCCGGGTGCCCGGGTGCCTGGGGGTGCCCGGGGCCCGTGTGCCCGGGGGGGGCCCGGGGGTGCCCGGGTGTGCCCTATAGCCATATAACCTATAGCCCTATAGCCCTATAGCCCTATAGCCCAATAGCCCAATAGCCCTACAGCCCTACAACTATATAGCCCTATAGCTCTATAGCCCTATAGCTCAATAGCCCTATAGCCCTATAGCCCCCTAGCCCTATAGCCCTGATTGGGGTGTTTCTCTGGTGTCATTGAGGTTCAGCTATGTGGTGTCAGCTATGTGGTGCGATATGCGTGGTGCAAGCTGGAGGTGGCAACATGGTGGCCACGGGCGGCAACGCGGCGAAACCTCTCTGGACTCGCCCAGCCCACGATGCGGCCGCGGCCGCAGCCTTTACATTGTATCGTTTCGTTGTCTGTTCATGGGAGCCTTGGGCGGCGACATTGAAATCAGCTTTTTTCTGCATTTGTACCGCACTGGGGCCGCATTTGGTTCCTCCTCCTGCTCCTCCTCGTACTTCCTGTTTCTCCTCCTCCTCCGCCTCGTTCTTGTCGTCTCCCTTGTTGTGAAGGGGCGAATCTCGTCCAATTCTGGTCCAAATGTGGTTCAAATCAGGCCCAAATCGGACAGCGCCAGGGGCAACGCAGGCTCCCATGAAACGGACACCAAATATCGTTATCGAAGACGCCTACGGCGAATCACCGCCGCCCCCTGCATGTTCGGAACGCATCTGTGGCCGAACGTTGTGGCCACAGCTCGGCCAAGCTATCGGACTCTGTGTTACCCCAGCCGTTGTGGAAACCTTTCGGGGAAAACTTGGGAGAGCAAATCAATGTTGTTGGCCTCTTCAGGCCTTCCTGGGTGTCTTCTTTGAGGCCTCTCGAGCCGTCTTGGACCGTCGGATGGCCGAAAGGAGGAAAAGCCTCAAACCTCCAACAACATAAGAAATCAATGGTTTGGGCTCCTTCGGGCCTTCTTGTATGTCGTCTTGGAAGTCTCTTGGGCTGTCTTGGAGGCCTCTTGGGGGCGTCTTGGGTCATTTTCCCGTCTTGGTTGCGTGTCGGGTCGTCTTGGAGACATTTTGCGGCCATCTGGGGCTCTTTTCTGGAGCATCTGGGCCGTCCAGGAGGCCATCTTGGGCGTCTTGGAGGCCTCTTGGGCCTTCTGTGGGCCCTCTTGGAGCCACCTTGGTGACTTGTGGGGCCGTCACAGCCGAAAGGCCGAAGAAAATAAGCAAACGCCAAACGCTCTAAAAAAGAATCATGATTTTGACCTCTTGGGGCGTTCCTGCCGGTCCTCTTGGAGACTTCCTAGGCCGTCGTGAAGGCCTTGGGGTCTTCTTGGGCCGTCTTGGGCCATCTGGAAGCATTATTAGGCCGTCTTGAGGTCATCTTGGGCCG